CCCCCCCCGGGTGCTTAAGGCACCCCTGGTTGTTCTGCTTATGACCTGTGCTTCGGATCCCAAAATTTCTTCTTTAGTTACTTAAGATTACATTCTTTTGGCCACTAGGAAAATGGATGTATGAAATTCTGCTTGGGTCTAAAGGGATCATGCAGCTTGGATGGGCAACTCTGTCTTGCAACTTTACAAGTGAGGTAACATATCAATAAATTATTTTACTTTCCTTAAGTTTATTTGTAATTAGCTAAAAAATATGCATATTGGGGCTATTATGGAATAATAATTATTGTCAGCACTCAATACTAGGATCTACCATTTGATGTACACTAGGAACAAGTGTGTTTCCTGCAAATATGTTTACAGTGCAAAGGAAGGGTACCACAGTTTATTCCTCTATGATCTCTCATGATTCCCTTAGATTAAAATATTTGAATGTTATTCCAGGAAGGGGTTGGAGACACACCAGATTCTTTTGCTTACGATGGTCACAGGGTTCGTAAATGGAATATGTCAACAGCCAAGTATGGAGAGGTAATGACCAAACCCTAAATGCTACGTTCTTATTAAATCTGTGAGTTAGCCATGCCATACATTTAATTTTGATCAGCCCAAAGGTTGTTACAGGGTTTTATCTGTAAGGTAGCTGTGCCTTGATTTTGAACAGCTCAGAGGTTGTTCCAGGGTTTGATCTGTGAGTTATCTGTGCCCTGATCCTTGATCAGCCCAAAGGTTGTTACAGGGTTTTATCTGTAAGGTAGCCATGCCTTGATTTTGAACAGCTCAGAGGTTGTTCCAGGGTTCAATCTGTGAGTTAGCTGTCCCCTGAACCTTGATCAGCCCAAAGGTTGTGTCAGGGTTTGATCTTTAAGCCATGCCCTGACTTTTATCAGTCCAGAGGTTGTTTCAGGTTCTAATAAATGCATAATAAAATTATGTTAATACAGGAGTGGATGGCAGGAGATGTAATTGGTTGTTCACTAGATCTTGATGAAGGGAAAATATCATATAGCAGGTAATATTGTTGCCATGAAGGCATCATATTAATAAATCCTTTATTTAAGGAGGGTAATACTAAATAGCAAATACTATGCTAAAAAAACCTGTGGCCCTCTACCTATCACCCCAAAGTATCTGTCATTTACATGTAATATGTAGTGTGTGTAGTGAAGCAATGGATAGCTCCACTCCAAAGGAGGATCTGACATCCCTAAAGGATGATCTTAGAGAAGAGGCTTGGTGTTGGCATCAATAATCAATTATTGATTGGTGCTATATTTTTTCTTACCTTATCTACTAAAAACTGTAATATTATGATATTGTTTTCATTACAGAAATGGAAAGTCTTTAGGCGTGGCTTTTGATAACGTCAGATATGGACCCGGTGTTGCTTATTTTCCTGCCGTGAGTCTGTCATACGGCGAATCCTGCCAGCTGAACTTTGGAGCATATCCATTCAAGTATCCTTGTAGAATAACATTGTCATTCGATCAACACACTCTCTGTAACAAATCACTAGCATATCAAATCAGCATGCTGACCTAGGCCAGCTAGTCCTGAGTTTAATGTTACCTTATTTACTTTAATCCACATATAAATACAGTTCTCAAAAAAAACATTGTCCTAGTAAATATTTGTTAAATAATTTTTCATTAGATAAAGCATTCAATGTTTTTTAATTTTTTCCCCTGTGAAATTCCAATCCTGCACCATTTAGAGAGAGCATTATCCATAATTCATACTGATTCAGAATAATATTGATTTTCTTCCCCATGGTTTAAGCTTTATAACCTTGACAGAAATAAGATTTCCGATGGAGGGATTCAAACCTCTTCAAGACCCTCCAACAGCTATTGTTTCTAAAGCTACAGAGTTGATGAACTGCTTGGATAGATTACTCCCTTCAGTAAGTCATTACTGACAGTAAATTCAACTTCAACATATCACATAGTCTTTATCTTACCCTCAAATCCCCTAAATCTGTTTTTAGGGACATTTTGCATAGGTTTTGCATTGACTTTCTTGCAGTTTTTATTACTATCATTTATCAAGGACTTTTGTTTTGTTTTTAGCCTGATAGGGTTGCATGCCTTCCACCATCTCTCCATGGCAGGTCTGATACCCTTTCGTTTCTCACAACAGCCCATGTGTTTGAGAAACTTGGCCCTCTGCTGGTAAGTAAGTAAACCAAGGGTGGTGTAGCAGTACTTAGTATACTCATCTCACACCTCTGGAGTCTTGGGTTTGATCCATGGACCCATCACCACATGTGAGTAGAGTTTATTGGGTCTTTCCCTTTATTCTAGGGTTTTTCCCTGAGTGAACTTTCTGGTTTTCCTATAATTCCCTCCTCAAAAACCTCAGAATACACAAAATGTTAATTTGATGGATCCATACATTTTTTGGGGTGGTACTCTGCATGTAGCCATTGTTTCTTCAAATAATTCAATTTATTTTGTACAGACCAAAGGCTTTGTTGTTGAGAAGGTCTTGCTACCTTTTCTTCTCAAGTCTTGCTCTGGAGGTAATCCCCTTGCAGAACAGACTGGTGTCTACAGGATGCTTGATCTGATGTGGGCATGTATGGAGGTGAGTGAGAGAAGAAATGATTATCTGTATCTTGATACATCTGTGCAGGCATATATGTATATATCCATCAATCCATCTATCTGTCTATCTGTCTGTCTGTCCATCCACCAACTCTCTCTTGCATCCCATCCCATCCATCCATCCATCCATCCATCCATCCACCCACCCACCCACCCACCATTTTATCTGTTCATCCATCTATCATTCCATTAGTCCATCCACCTCTCCATCCATCAACCCACTCGCACACCATTCCATTCAGCCATCCATCCATCCATCCATCCATCCACCAGCCCACCATTCCATTTACCTACCTATGAAGCCACCCACCATTCCATTTCTCCATCCATCCACCCATCCATCCATCCACCCATCCATCCATCCACCCACTCTCCATTACATCCTCCATCCATCCATCCATCCATCTATTCTACCATCACCCTACACAAGCTATCAGACTAAGTCTGTTCATCTGCTTGTCATAACCCAGGACTTTGAGCTGGAGCCATGTCTGGAGAACTTACTATTTGCCCTGATCAAAGCATACTGGTATCAACCAGTAACCCTTGACTTCAAACAGCAGGTGAGTATCATGCCATTTCCTTAAGTATTATGGCTTTTCATAAAATAAATAAAAAACTTGCTTACTGCTTGCTGTGTGGAGCTATAAAGCACTAATTGAGGATTAGCAGAAATCTTTAAAAATGTCAAGAAACTTTCCGCTGCACTTTGTGCTTCTCCTACACACTTCTCTCGTGTTCTGCCAATCCCCGTGTGCAAAAATCCCACAGCAAAAATAAAGTTTTAAATTCCAGTTCAATCATGGATGACGGGCAGATTTGTTAGCCACTGGCTATGAAATGCTACCCTCATAGAATAAGGAGATCACAAGTATCTTTCATTTCAATGAGAAATGATTTCTATTTTTATAGCAATAAAAGAAAATTAAGTGTCCCTGAATCCTTATAATCTTGTATTTTTTAAAACGTTTGCAAGCTAAATCAGTATGCTTATCTTTCATTATTTTTTTAATGATAGGCCCATTGTTTGTCTCTTGCTCTGAGTATATTACGCCATCACAAGACAAGAAGATTGTGGATTGAGTGCAAAATATATCCTTTACTTTGCTGATCAATTTAATGTTTTCCATGCCTAGTCATACAGTATTGGGTCAAAAAAAGCTGTTCCTTAGTGCGTTGAATTTCTTAACATTTTCCAAATTCCCCCAAAAGTTCAGTTACTTTATGCACATTAGACCTCCAGATGATGACATACTTAATGCTGCTTTTCCAGTTGTGTGGAGAGAAAGTAATAATGTAAGTACATTTGTACAGCTATCTAGAATAAACAGTTTCTGAGCACAAAGGAATTGACCATGTTGATTGGATAGTCTTGTGAATTGCCTGCTTTTACTTTTTTTTTTTTTTTTTTTGTAACGACATTACTATCTTTTATTAACGTTAACTTACATTAAGTATAATCAATAGATCTTTTTGTCAACATGTTTATAAACATGTTTGTCAACATAAAAAGTGTTGTTATTCGTAAATTTTGGCAAGATGCTTCAATCATTCAATTTAGAAACAATTTCTAAACTTTTCATAACAATAATAAACCCTATGCCCGAAACCCCTGAAAAAGCTATGCAGAGATCACTGGATTGTTTAAAATACAATTATAAAAGGAAAAAACAGGATAAAACACAGTTTCTGTTCATGTTGGAAAGCACCCAAACTGCTGTAACAGTGGATGTGGAATATTGATGATTATGATGGATTTTTCTTGGCCAATTCTAATGTCTTCTTCAATGATGTTAGGAAACCTCTCAGTCTGCTACAGACAAAGAAGAATATCTATCAGCTTGTCAAAGACTGAAAAACAAAGTACAAGGTACTACTGACAGGAAAATAATCTCTTGCACATAATGTTCTTTTACTTGTTCACTTGAATAGTAGTGTTGTATACCACTACAAAAATGAGTTGTGAATATTCTGTATTTTCTTATTTTGAGAATAGTAAGACACCAGGGCCTAGTTGTACGAAGTCTGGATAGCGCTATCCAACGGATAAATCTTATCCAGTGGATAAATTTATTGGATAACAGCATCACTTTATCCAGTGAATAAGGATTTATAGATGAGTTCAGATTATCATGGGCGGGGCCTAGATACAAATGCTGGCAGTAACCATGGTTACGACCCACGAAGTACCTGTCACATTGACAAGTTGGGCGAATACTGACTCCATTTCAATTTCTGCAATATTTTGTTTGTAGTTCTGGAAGACGTTCAAGTAGAAATGTGTAAAATTCTGCTCCAGGATGATGATCTATCCACTATGGTAAGGAATGATTCAGTAGCAAGGATGATTATGTCATCAATCTAATAATAATCCCATACAATCGCCGGTAGCATTATTTTTAAAGTTTGCATGTAAGAGTATACATACATATTAGCAACATTAGTTCCCGTAGGGGAAATATCTAGAAAAAAAATGTTTTAGTGCATTTTTTATTGATTTCTTTACTCTTTTGTATGATGTAAGATATTATCTTGACCTCAAACTAAAAAATATATTATATTCAATTTTTCCAATTTTATTTTCACCTAGTATCAATTTTATCTAAATAGACCAGTTTCGAATTCCAAATTACCGCTGTGTTCCTTGATTACAGACTCATTTGCACAGGGTTAGCCTCGTATCAGTGTCTAAATATTCACAAATACCAACGATAAAGTAAAGAATGCACAACTTCAACAATACAAACACTTTGAAACTCAACAGACCTTGACTGGAACACATGAATATTCTGCACAAACTCGAGGTTAACCCTGTGCAAATGAGTCTGTAATCAAGGAACACAGCGGTAATTTGGAATTCGAAACTGGTCTATTGGGCACCCTGTGACTCAACTACAGATTTTCTTAGTTTCTTTCAGCCAATCAAAGTTTAAAAAGAAAGAATAACATTTTAACCAATTATTGAATTATTGCACAGCTTATGCTTGCCAGCTAAGTGTACTTTGTCATGGATTCAAAATGGTGGATCAAGTAAAATGTAACCAAGGCTATAAAATGTTAGAAAAAAAATCTTTATTTTTCAGGGTACTAAGTCCACAAGAGCAATGTTCCTGGATAAATTTATGAAATATCTACAAGAAAACATGTTGCCAACTTCAAATGTACGTGAGCCAAAAAATAAGCAATTCTATTACAATTCATTTTATTCCATACTAAGATGTACATTTAGTATCATAAACAAATGTATAATTCAGATTTGCTTTTTACCATTGGTAGTTACGTGTACAGCCATCTACAGCATGCGGAGGACCAGTCATTACCTGCTTCTATCACAGACTCATCCAGGCCCTCAGGTGTCACTGGGACGATATATCTGACCAAAGCCATTCATCAAGACCTAGCCATGGTAGAGAATTTCAAATAAATTACATATCTCTCCTGTATAGACCCCTTGCATGTGACGTCAAAGCAACTCAATTTGGAGGACCACACAAAAGGATTCCAATCTCCTGAGAATTGGAACCTTTGGTTATGTCCTCCAGATTGAGCTGCAAAGTGCTGCAAGGGGTCTATACAAAGGGGGCTGAAGCAGTAGAACAACTCCCCAGATGCGCGTCAACTGACTGTTTGCTTTGGAAGGAAGATTATTACTCTATCAACAGTCCACTACTGTATATATCCCCTGCACTTGTGTGACTGATTGTTTTGTAAAGAAAAATACCTCCTAACCTTTTTGACAAATGGCCCTAAAACAGTTGATTTTACAATAGTCAAATCGATGGTCAAACAGCCATGATTTCAAAAGAACGGCCATGATATGGTTGATAGTTTGTAGACAGGGCTTCTGGGGCACTGATGTTGTATTTTACCCGGAAGGGATTGGAATGTGTAGTTGGTTGGGAGGGGGGTTGGTGGTAGTTCTGTAGCCTGGCTCTGTCTGACACCCTTTTGATAGTAAGTCATCTGATAGATAACAATTGATTTTCATTCTTTCAGGTGACGTTTATGTTCCATTTCACATATTCTTTGATGGAAGCATTCAGTATTGGGACATGTCAAGGTAAACCATAAAATGGCTTTTTCTTACCACTCATGGTCCAGGAAAGGAAAGGAAAGGAAAGGAAAGGAAAG